AAAGGAAAGAAAGAACTCATAGCACAACCAAAGGAAGGAAGGAAAAGAAAGAATTCATAAGGAAGGAAGGAAAAAGAAAAGAAAGAAAGAACTCATAATATAGCACAATCATTTTGTACCACAGTGCTTTTCAACCTTTTCTTATGCCATGACACAAAGAGAACATAGTAGTCTTGGCACTGAATGCTGGGGTAAGCTGATAAGGCAACTGATGGCCAGAGAAGTTTGACCCAGGCTTCCCTGGGCCCTGCCCTGTTTCCTTGAAGGCTGAGTGGGGAACCAGTACAATAGTATAGCCCACCTGCAATGCATTAGAAAGGCTCTGAATGTATTGACCAACCAAAAAGATGGTAACAATGATCTTATTCATCAAAGAATGAAATTTAGAGAACATTAAATGCCATTTACGAAGGCATAAAAGTAGATATTTTAGAACTATTCTCATCTGAAATGATTAAAATGTCTGTTTTCTTGGCTTTTAAAGTGGTACTAAACCTATAATTTTCCAGAAAATACAGTTTCAGTTATAGGTAGCAGAGACCTTATAATGGTTTTAAAAATGGTTTCTTTATCATCTATGTTTTCTGGTTATCAAAAGAAATACAAAAATATGTAAAATAGAAAATGAAAGTTTCTCATAACCTCAACCCCAGAAATCAGTTTTAATAGCATGGTGTATTCTCCATAGAATTTTTTTTCTCACAAAAGCAGGGCTATTCTATGTCTATAGTTTGTCAACTTGCTTTTTTTTTTTTTTTTTTTAAGAAAATCAAATATATTATGGACATCTCTTTATATTAGCACCAATAATATATATATTGCAGTCTTTCTGTGAGCCAGACATGAGAGTTAAGTGCTTGAGATATAACAGTTAAGAAGACATTCAGGACGGGTGCAGTGGTTCATGCCTGTAATCTTAGCTCTTTGGGAGGCTGAGGCGGGCAGATCACTTGAGTCCAGGAGTTCAAGACCAGCCTGGGCAATATGGCAAGACCCTGTCTCTCAAAAACATACAAAAATTAGCTGGGCATCCATTGAACCTAGGTGGTCAAGGCTGAAGTGAGCTGAAATTATGCCACTGCACTCCAACCTGGGCAAGAGAGCAAGACCCTGTCTCAATTAAAAAAAAAAAAAAAGACATTCATAGTCTCTGCTTTCATAGAACTTCCAGTTAAATGGGAGAAATAGGCATTAAACGCATAAATCTAGCCGCAGATAAATCGAGTTACATTTGTAGTGATTGCTATAAAAGAAAAGTTTCAGGTGCTGTGGAAGTATTTCAGTAGTTCCCTCTTATCCACGGGGTATACATTCCAAGATCCCCCGTGGATGCCTGAAATCATGGATAGTACCAGACTCTGTATCTACTGTGCTTCTTTGATCTAATAACCAAGAAGGCTACTGAGTAACTTAACAAGTAGGTATCATATACACTGTGGAAACACTGGACACAGGGATGATTCACATCCCAGGTAGGGTGGAGCAGGATGGTGTGATATTTCTTCATGCTACTAAGAATGGCATGCAATTTAAAACTTATGAATTATTTTATTTCTGAGATGTTCCATTTAATATTTTTGGACCATGGTTGACTGGAGTGACTGAAACCATATAAAGTGAAACTTTGGATAAAGGAGGACTATATAACAAAAACTCAGTCTAAAGTCAAAAAGGCCATTTTGAGAGAGAGCTGTTTGATCTGAGACCTAAAAAGTGAGTGGGAATTAGTCAAGGGAGAGGCGTTCCAGGCAGAAATAACCACACATGCAAAGCCTCTGAGGTTGCTATAAGAGCTTGGCACATTTAAAAAGCTGAGGTTTGTTTCATTCATTTTATTGTATCTCATACCAGTACTTATTTATCTACTCCTCTATTGACAAAAATTTAGTTTATTTCCACTTTTTAACTATTTTAAACAGTGTTACATTGAACATCTTTGTATATACAATTTAACAACTTTTAAAAATACTATCCCTCATGAGCTCCCATTAATCAGTAAAAATTTATTTCTGATTCGTATTTCCTTTGGTTTTAAATATCATCATGTACTGTTTTGCTTTTTATAATCTTAATATATGAAACCTGAGACTTAGCTAATTGAAAAAGCAATAAATAAGTCCTATTTATGGAAGCTTGAGATGCATACTTGCATTACCTTGTGTTTGGGAATACCTGCCAGGAAAGCTCAGCCTTGGGTAGCATTACACGCAACTACCCAAACTGAAAGAGAAGGGACAAGGGACCATCTTAAGCTACCAGAGCATCTATTTTGTAAGTAAATATCTCTTTGCCCTTTCTTTCTATTGGTAGAATTTTTTTTTAAGGACAGCTGTCTAAAGCAGTCTTCTCAAAGCAGTTCTCACCGTAGATTCATGGCTTCACCCCCAGGCTCTATAAATTGGATTATCTGGGGATGGATCCCAGGTATCTACACTTTAAACGCTTCCCTCCCCTCACTACCTCTGCCAATCAATTTTTATCTACCATTGAAAACCAAAGCTCTAGAATATATGAATATTGTAAATTGGGGGAAAGGGCATATGTTTCCTTTGCCATATTGACTTAAATCTGTTTATTCAATAGAATAAGGGATTGGGAACTCAAACACCTATTATTTATTATTAAAAAAAAAAAAAAAGGTTATTTCAAAATAGTGTACTTTATCAGTCATACCTGATACATTTATCTGCAAATTGTTGAACTTTTACAGTTAACTGAGTTGATACCTTTTTCATTTTTGTTAAGGACTCAACTAAAGAAGTTTCTTGGAAAATCAGTGAAGAGAGCAAAGCACCTTGCTGAGGAATATGGTGAACGTGCTATAAATAAAGTTAAAAGTGTTAGAGATGAAGGTGAGTTAAAACAGAACATTTCAACTGAATATTCAATTAATTTGTAATCATCTAAATTTAGCCTGTAGTGCATAAGAAGCAATCTATTTTATTTAAAATAGTAAACCTTTATAGCTGACATCTGTTTCAATAAATAAGGTATTCTAGCTCTTCATTTTATGAGTTTGAAGAAAAATGAATTTATGCATATTTTGTGACTTTGACAGTCTGAAAGGGTTGAGTGTTCAATAATCAGTTATAAATTAGTTTTTAAAGGCTATTTGGTTTCGGTTTTGGTTTTTTGTTTTTGTTTTTTTGGTTTTTTTTTGAGACAGAGTCTCGCTCTGTTGCCCGGGCTGGAGTGCAATGGCATGATCTTGGCTCACTGCAACCTCCACCTCCTGGGTTCAAGAGATTCTCCTGCCTCAGCTTCCCAAGTAGCTGGGATTACAGGCACACACCACCATACCTGGCTAATTTTTCTACTTTTTGTAAAGACAGGATTTCGCCTGGCTGATCTCAAACTCCTGACTTCAGGTGATCTACCCACCTCAGCCTCTCAAAGTGCTGGGATTACAGGCATGAACCACCACGCCAGGCCAAGGCTATTTTGTTTTTTTTTGTTTGTTTGTTTGTTTTGGGATGGAGTCTCACTCTGTTACCTAGGCTGGAGTGCAATGGCGTGATCTCGGGTCACTGCAACCTCCGCCTCCCAGTTTCAAATGATTCTTCTGCCTCAGACTCTGGAGTAACTGAGATTACAGGCATCTGCCACCGTTCCCGGCTAGTTTTTGTATTTTTAATAGAGATAGGATTTCACCATGTTGCCCAAGATGGTTTCAAATTCATGACCTCAGGTGATCTGCCTGCCTCAGCCTCCCAAAGTCCTGGGATTACAGGCGTGAGCTACTATGCCCAGCCAGCTATTTGGTTTTTACAAATAAAGTTAGTCCTCCATATCCATGGATTCCACATGCAGGGATTCAAACAACTGCAGATAGAAAACTATTTGGGGAAAAAAAAAAAACCATAAAAAATAACAGTACAACAATAAAACGTAATACAAAAAAAATATAACAACTATTTATATCACAGTTATACTGCAGTAGGTATTATAAGTAATTTAGAGATTATTTAAAGTATACGGGGCCAGGCATGGTGACTCATGCCTATAATCCCAGTACTTTGAGAGGCCAAGGCAGGAGAACCACTTGAGGCCAGGAGTTCAAGACTAGCCTGGTCAAACATAGCGAGACCCTGTCTCTACTAAAAAATAAAAATTAGCTGGGTGTAGTGACATATGCCTATAGTCCCAGCTACTCAGAAGGCTGAGGAGCAGGAGCCCAGGGGTTCAGGGCTACGGTGAGCTATGATTGCACCACTGCACTCCAACCTGAGACCCTGTCTTTAAAAACAGAAAGTACACGAAAGGATGTGCGTAGGTCATATGCAAATACCGTGCCATTTTATGTTAGGGACTTGAGCATTCGTAGATTTTGGTACCCATAGCAGGTCCTGCCATGGACACTAGGGAATTATTATATTTTCAAAATTAGGTGGGGCTGGGTATGGTGGCTCATGCCTGTAATCCCAACACTTTGGAAGGCTAAGGCAGGAGGATCACTTAAGCCCTGGAGTTCGAGACCAGCTCGGGCTACATAGTGAGACCCCTCATTTGTATAAAAATAAATAAATAAATAATTTTTTTAAAATTAGGTAAATTTTCAAAATTTGCACATATGTTAACCTCCTATGCCTTTGTCATTACTGTGCTCATTTGTTTAATAAAACATACATAGTACTTATTCAGTGCCTGGGACTATACCAGGCACTTTTACCTGTATTCATTTAATCTCATAAAAATCCTATGAGGTAAGTACCATCATAATCCCCATTTGATAGATAAGAAAACTAAGAGAAATCAAAAGTTAAGTAACTTGCCTGTGGTCACACAGATAATAAATGACAGAGCTGGATTTGAACCTGGCAGCCCAGTGTTAAGACTCCATGTTTTTAACCAGTATGGTATATAATAAATAAATTTTGCTCTTCCATTTTATGAATTTTCTTGGTAAGCAGGAAATATGAAAATATGATAGTAGCAGTATCTATATTAGCTAGTAGTGATTTCTGTTGCTTTTCTGTTCAGTGTTTCATACTGATCAAGATGATCCTTCATCAAGTGATGATGAAGGAATGCCATACACAAGACCAGTTAAATTCAAAGCAGCACATGGTTTCAAAGGACCTTATGATTTCGATCAGATCAAAGTGGTGCAAGATCTTAGTGGTGAACATATGGTAAGCAACTTTTTCATTTTTTAGGACTGATACTGTCTTTGTTAAGAGAAATACTTTGGCTTCTACAAAACTGATCTCCTTCTATGTATGTGACTTTGCTAGCCTGACTCAAGAACAGTGAATTTATGTTAACATGATTTAATGAATAGGTAATAGAGAGTCTGTCTGTAAATTATTCCAGAAGTAACTTATTGGGTCGGGTATGGTGGCTCACGCCTGTAATCCCAACACTTTGGGAGGCCAAGACAGGCAGATCACTTGAGGTCAGGAGTTTGAGACCAGCCTGGCCAATGTGGTGAAAACCCGTCTCTACTAAAAATACAAAAATTAGCCAGACATAGTGGCCTGTGCCTATGATCCCAGCTACTTGGGAGGCTGAGGCGGGAGAACTGCTTGAACCTAGGAGGTGGAGGTTGTGGTAAGCCAATATCATGCCACTGCACTCCGGCCTGGGCTAAAGAGTAAGATTCTGTCTCAAAAAAAAAAAAAAGGTGTTATTGGTTATTGTCAAACTCTCAGCCTGTATCACTAAGACGGCTATGCAAAGACACCAGACTTTAAAGCAGTTAAATTAGAGGGTGGTATGTAACTTCAGAAAAATGTTTAAAATGTTCCCAACCATATTTTAAGTAATTTATAAAATATTTCAGAAGCTCAATATATGTTATAAAGTGAGATATTCAGCTAAAACAGGGAGAGAGGTAGAAGTTCAAGTTCTCCTTTAGAGTTTAGATGTACCGATGTAGATGAAGTGCACAAACTATATTGCAGTGAACCCTTGAAAATGCTAGGAACACAAGGAAGGCAGTGATAAAATTAAGAACTGAATAAATAATACTGTGCCCTTCATTAGGGAATCTATTTACATTTTAAGTCTAAAAGTTGGCTTAACTGAAAGGAAGCAACCATAAATATATTGGATGGCAACCAAATTCGAATTTAAATGTTGATTCTTACAATCTACAGATAAAATGTTTGAGTTGATTCTAGTATTTTCCTTAAGGAAATTGGTGAATTGCCTAGTACTGTATTGACTCGTTATTTCCTGTTTTTAAATAAAATCTCATGATAGTAGGCTCTAAATGACTCATTTTTTAATACACTTGAATTTTGCAGAAGTAAATGGTTATTTCGATAAATGGGCTGTTGCATAATTTTTTTATACACCTGGATGTGTCTATAATAGTATTTGTTATAATAAGATTTGCTCTTTCCAGTTTAAGGGATTCATGTTCTTTCCCCCTGCTCCTCTACCCCCACCACACACACATACTTTCCTACTGTTTTCAGTATCTAAAGATTCTGGCCATATACTATGAAACCTTGTTTATAGTGAGAGAAGTAGGATGAGACCACATCATTGCAATACTACTACCTTTTCTTTATTTTAGAGGCAAGGTCTCGCTCTATCACCCAGGCTGGAGTGCAGGGGCGGGATCTTGGCTCACTGCAGACTCTGCCTCCGGGGCTCAAGCAGTCTTTCCACCTCAGCCTCCTGAGTAGCTGGGACCATAGGTGTGCACCACTACGCCTGGCTAATTTTTTGTATTTTTTGTAGAGATGGGGTTTGGCTGTGTTGCCCAGGCTAGTCTTGATCTCCTGAGCTCAAGTGATCTGCCTGCCCAGACCTCCCAAAGTACTGGATGGGATTACAGGCACGTGCCACCACACCCAGCCCATTGCAATACTGTAATACTTCTAAGTGCCTGATGCTGTGAGGGTCACTGCCAAGGTGGGCTTTAGTCTTCCTCAGTCCTGCTCAGTTATTAGTGCTATGCTGAGGGCTCTGCCACCCGTCTTTACATTGAGCTAGGGCACTGAGATCCCCAACTAGGATTTGTGCTTTTCCAGTTAAGATTTCTGACCACTTTAGAACTCCCATTTTCATGAATATGTGGACAAGATTTGAGTTCTTGAAATTGTTAGTTTAGATTATGGAACACTACAGCTATCTTATTCTGCCTTTCTTCTGGAAGTCTCCTTTTGTGGTCTTATAGCACCATTGAACCAAAAGCCTTAAGTACCTGTTAGCAATGTGAGCATTATCTTAGTATGTATAATTTGGCATAATTTTAAACTTTGGCTGTAAAGTAATGGCTTTATTTTATTTATTTTTAGATGGAGTTTTGTTCTTGTTTCCCATGCTGGAGTTTAATGGCATGGTGTCAGCTCACTGCAACCTCCACCTCCTGGGTTCAAGTGATCCTCCTGCCTCAGCTTCCCAAGTAGCTGGGATTACAGGCACCTGCCACCATGCCCAGCTAATTTTTGTATTTTTAGTAGAGACCGGGTTTCACCATGTTGGCCAGGCTGATCTCAAACCCCTGACCTCAGGTGATCTGCCTGCCTCAACCTCCCAAAGTGCTGGGATTACAGACATGAGCCACTGCGCCCAGCCAAAAGTAATGTCTCTAAAGTTGTAAAGTATTAACTTTGAACCTTCTTTTGTTTTCATAGGGAGCTGTTTGGACCATGAAATTTTCTCACTGTGGCCGATTACTTGCCTCAGCTGGACAAGACAACGTAGTGAGAATATGGGCCTTAAAAAATGCTTTTGACTATTTCAACAATATGCGAATGAAATACAATACTGAAGGTATTTTTCATGTATTTAAAAATTTACAGAAATCTGAAATTTTTACATTTTAGGTATACTAATGCCCTACTTTCCTGGCAGTCATTTGCCGCAACCATTACTTATCATAATAGCCAAAAACTTGAAAGTAAGACAGACAACAGCAAAAGTCTCTAAACCCAATGAAGAGAGTTGCCACAAAGCTTTTGATTTATCCCTTTCAGGTGTATGTAGTAAGTAGTTAATTTCATCAACTATTGAGAACATATTATTTGGTTTCCTAGGTTAAAATAGAATTGCTAATTAAACTAGAAAAAGAACGAAAATCATATATACATCCAGTAAGTAAAAATGATTAAGGAAAGTCATGGAAAATAAATGTGACTTGTCAGTCTATCAAGGGATATATGAAAAAATGTTGAAAAGAGAAAGCTCAGAGCATTCTGTATATACACATTGATTACAGCTATGTACAGATATTTTTATATCATGATGTTATCGGGAAGGTATTTAGAACTGATGTAAATTTGGGCTTTAAGTTTATGGGATTCTTTTCTAATAACTATTTAACCATGTAATAAGTTTTTTCCACACCCTCCCCACTATCAAGTAAGGCTGCAAACAAGAAGTAAAGCCTAGGAGCAAGGAGAAAAAAGGTGGCCTTGGATGAGAGTGTATAGTCAAAGCACCAATTTGAGGAGCATAGAAGCCTAGGGAGATTTGCTAAACTGGCAAGCTAGGCCTCATATACTTGAGTAAACCCTGTGAGTATTGCTTGCATTATGTTGCAATACTTAGTTGAAGATGATGGTGATTTGACATGAAGTTAACCCATGTTAATTATATGGTGAATTTTTCTAGTCCTAGCTATTTGTCATTTCTTTTTTTTTTTTTTTTTTTTTTTGAGACGGAGTTTCACTCATGTTACCCAGGCTGGAGTGCAATGGCGCGATCTCGGCTCACCGCAACCTCCGCCTCCTGGGTTCAGGCAATTCTCCTGCCTCAGCCTCCTGAGTAGTTGGGATTACAGGCACGCACCACCATGCCCAGCTAATTTTTTGTATTTTTAGTAGAGACGGGGTTTCACCATGTTGACCAGGATGGTCTCGATCTTTTGACCTCGTGATCCACCCGCCTCTGCCTCCCAAAGTGCTGGGATTACAGGCTTGAGCCACCGCGCCCGGCTTATTTGTCATTTCTTTTACTGCCCTGCCAGGAGCAAAAAGACTATTTTCAGTGGCCCTTGAGACTAACCCCAGCCCTGACCCTTTCTGCCCCTTTATTGTTCCTCTTGCTACTTGTTGTGATTAATAAGAATGTATCCTATTTGAATACTGAGAATTTAGTGGTATTTTGTTTATTAAATTAGGGAAATGGTTAAGCCATTTTATGAAGCTTTTGTGTAAAAATGATCGAAACAAATATTTTGGTTCTTATAGGGTTATGCCTCCCTTGTTAGTATTTTTCAAGAATACTATGTTCTCTAACAGACATTGCTGTATCATTACTTTAGAATGCTGTATGTTGGTGGTTCTTTGTGTGTACATACATGCCTTTTTTATAATTATGTTGGTTTTAGGACGTGTGTCTCCATCACCCTCTCAGGAAAGTCTAAGTTCATCAAAATCGGATACGGATACAGGGGTATGTTTATTGTTTTATGGTTACTATGTGAAATGGTATGATTTAATTTGTTTACCGTAAAGTATTTTTGTTTATCAGAAATTATAGTTGCATAAAGACACCTTATTAAAATTAAGATATATCACTAGAAACAAGTTTCTTCAATTACAATAAATTGACAAATGAAAATTTTTATGTTTAAACATTGCCAGGCAGCAAGTAATATTCCTCAGGGTACTATACCACTAATGGAAACTTAAATAATACAAAACCCCCTCCCCTCAAATCCATGTTAGATATTTTCAAAATAAGGATAATAGATACCCAAATAAGAGGTAATTAAGGAAAGAAAAAAGATACTTAAGTATTTTAATTTTCTAATCTTCTTGGTTTAATAAACACTTTATCACAGTTTCAGATAAGGTAACGTAATGATTTTCATTTGGTTTTAGAGCTGGAAGGTTAAATAAAACCAATTTTAAACCTAAAAAGCAGAATACACAATTTTGTGCTAAGTTGTCACCTGTGCCTCTTGTGTATTACATTTGGTAAGGGTGATATAAGCAAGAGAATCTAAAATGTCTGCTTAACAGTATTTTCCTGATATTTCATTGGCTTCAGTATTTGACACTAACTTTGCCCCTTTTTCTGGCTTTCCATGGTTCTCTTTTCCCTTGTTCTCTTATACTCCCACTGTTTCTTCTTCCACCTCCTTACATTTACTGTTTCTCAGGGTCTGTTCTTGGCCATTCTCAATAGACATATTTGTGCACTTCTTCTAGTCCTAAACTGGCTTTAGATCTGTAATTCTTTGTTTACTTTCAGTAACTTTATAATTTTTAAACAAGAATATTGTGCTTGCTGCCTTTTCACATAGCAGTATGTAGGATCTCTCCACCTACATGTAATTCAAGTATATCAACTGATAGGTCCAAAACTAAACTCCTTCAACAAACGTTTTTTGAGTGCCTGCTATATGTGCAGACACTGCTACATGCTGTAAAATCAAATGAGACATGTCTCTGTTCTCAGGTATCCTGTGGACTAGTGAAATGGGTAAACTCACAATTACAATATTAGATGGTGATATTCTACAGAAGGCACTACACAAGTATAGGTTAGCCTTAGAAATCACAGTGTCAGGAATAGTTTCCTGGAAGCTTGTTATTTAAGCTAGGACTTAGCTATATGAGAGAAGAAAGGAAGGAGCGTATCAGACACAGAGAATAGCAAGTACAAAGGTATGGAGAATAAAGTGGCATGGTAAGTTAAAGGTATTACAAGGAATTACACATGACTGGAAAAGTTGCATGTGTGAGATTGGTGGGAGAGGTAGGCAGGAGTGGGATTTAAAATGGCTTTTTGTGTTAAACCAAGACATTGGAACTTTATCCTGCAAACTACTGGGAGCAGGGTGGGGCTTTGAAGGATTTCACTCAAAGATGTAATTACCATGTTCAGATTTTTGTTTTAGAAAGACTATTCACAGCTACTTAGGAGGCTGAGGCAGGAGAATCACTTGAACCTGGGAGGCAGAGGTTGCAGTGAGCCAAGATCACACCACTACACCCCGGTCTGGGTGACAGAGTAAGACTCCATCTCAAGAAAAAAAAAAAAAAATAGAGTATTCTGGTAGTATTGTGAAGGAAAGACTAGATGGGGGCTTCAGATTAGAGACAGGGAGACCATGTAAGAGGCTATTAACCAAGAGAAATGGCTAATTCCAATTATGATGATTATGATAACAGTAGAGCTAGAAACTGTAAAGATAAGCTAAATTGAGAGATGTAAAAGAAGTCTAATTTCTAGTACTTGGCAACTGACTAGCTGGGATAGTAAAAGTGAGTAGCCTAGGATGAATCACAGGTATCTGGCTTGAGTAGTTAGCTAGATGGTAACGGTCATTCATGGAAATATTTTTTTATTTTAATTTTTCTGTAAGTTATTGGGGTACAAGTGGTATTTGGTTACATGAATACGTTCTTTAGTGGTGATTTGTGAGACTCTGGTGCACCGATCACCCGAGCAGTATACACTGCACCTATTTGTAGTGTTTTATTCCTCACCGCCCCCCACTCTTCCTCCCAAGTTCCCAAAGTCCATTGTATCATTCTTATGCCTTTGCGTCCTTGTAGCTTAGCTCTCACATATCAGTGAAAATATACAATTTTTGGTTTCCCATTCCTGAGTTACTCCTCTTAGAATGATAATATCCAGTCTTGCTGCAAATGCCATTAATTCATTCCTTTTATGGCTGAGTAGTATTCCATCATATGTATATACCAGTTTCTTTACCCACTTGTTGATTGATGGGCATTTGGGTTGGATCCATGTTTTTGCAATTGCAAACTGCGCTACTATAAACATGTATGTGCAAGTATCTTTTTCAAATAATGACTTATTTTCCTCTGGGTAGATACCCATAGTGGGATTGATAGATCAAATGGTAGTTCTGCTTTTAATTCTTTAAGGAATCTCCACACTGTTTTCCATAGTGTTAGTACTAGTTTACATTCCTACTAGCAACGTAGAAGTGTTCCTTGATCACTGCATCCATGCCAACATCGACTGTTTTTTGTTTTTTTTATTATGGCCATTCTTGCAGGAATAAGATGGTATCGCATTGTGATTTTGATTTGTATTTCCCTGATTATTAATGATGTTGAGCATTTTTTTTTTATAAGAATGGACTTTTTTTATGAGATCTGAATACAAATTGGCATCTCATCAAATGGCATCTCAAGAATTCTTCTAAGACCTCTAAATATTGCTTTATAAAAGGGATGAAGTAGATAAAGTGTGCATCTGTTACAGTAAGTACTCCAGAGAGAGGCACAAATGTACTCCATTTCCCAAATCACTCCTTACCTCAATCACATTTGTGTAGGCCAAGGAGTGTGCCTCAATAATTAGGGATTCAGACAGCTATGGCTGCTTTAATTTTTGTTGCTGCTGTTCACAGCATTTTGTTGATGGGATTTGGAACTCTGTCGTATTTCAAAGCTACAAAGTAACATTCGTCAAATGAAGCCAATAATCAGCTATGCCAAATTAAATGTCCCAAAACTATAACTTTTTGCTTGTGCGGAAAGCTGCCGTTTTCAGAATGTATGGAATGCAAGGCGCAAAAGCCTTTCTGTGATTTTGTTGAAACCTCCTATAGAAAACCCACCAATTTCTTCACCTCCTGGCACACAGGGTGTGCTAATTCTTTGGCTTTTGCAGATCCAGCTTGTAAAACCTTCTCTAAATGGTCCTTGTCCAGCTTCAGTTTCTCAATTTCACGCTTAATCGGGGCGAACTTCTCGATGACGGCGTCCGCCACGGCCAGCTTGTAGCGCGCGGTGTCCAGGCCCGCGCTGCGGCGCACCACCTCCTGCACCGGGAGCCCGGCCACCGCGGCGTGCAGCGCCACCAGGTTGGACACGCCCGGGCGGCCGGCCGGCTCGTAGGTGACCTCCGAGGTGAAGTCCGTCACGGCCTCGATCTCCTCTGGGCTGTCTGTTATTCCCACGGTGGCCAATTTGTCAGGGTCTGATTTCGACATTTTAGCAGAAGGATCACGGAGGGATTTTACCTTCTTCATGGATGTTAGAATGGACTTGGGCACTGGAAAGAACTCCTCATACTTCTTGTTGAAACTTTGTGCTAGATCCTGAACTAGTTCCATGTGCTGGACTTGATCCTCCCCAACAGGAACATTTGTGGACCTCCTCTGTGGCACTAGCAACATTTCAGGCACTCAAAAGCCTCACATGTGGCTACTGGCTACAGGATTTGTACAACAGAATGTCGGCCGCCTGGAGCACTGGGTACGTGAGCAGGTCTGCCGTGCCGTCGTGCTTCTGCTTGGCAGTCTTGGCCTTCCACTGGTGTAAATGTTGTAATCGAGGTAGTCTGACCATGCAGGAAAGGATCCAACTTAATTGTGTGTGTTCAGGCACCTGGGGAGTGGAAGAAGCTGCGGATCCTTTATGAAGTGCCCGGATGAAGCTCCAGCAGCACTCACGCGCTTTCCACGCTGAGTGCAGCGCCATCTTGAAAGGGGCGGAACCGTCCGAGCATTTTTTCGTATGTCTGTTGCCATTTGTATATTTTTGTTAAGAATTGTCTGTTTATGTCCTTAGCCCACTTTTTGATGGACTGTTTTTTTCTTACTGATTTATTTGAGTTTGTTGTTGATTCTGGATATTAGTCCTTTGTTGGATGTATTGATTGTGAAGATTTTCTCCCACTCTGTGGTTTGTCTGTTTACTCTGCTGACTGTTCTTTTGCTGTGTAAAAGCTCTTTAGTTTAATTAAGTCCCGACTATTTATCTTTATTATTAGTGCAGTTCCTTTTGGGTTCTTGGTCATGAAACCCTTGCCTAAGCCAATGTCTAGAAGGGTTTTTCCAATGTTATCATCTAGAATTTTTATGGTTTCAGGTCTTAGGTTTAAGTCCTTAATCCCTTTTGAGCTGATTTTTATGTAAGGTGAGAGATGAGGATCCAGTTTCATTCTCCCACATGTGGCTAACCAATTATCCCAGCACCATTTGTTGAAAAGGGTGTCCTTTCCTCACTTAATGTTTTTGTTTGCCTTGTCAAAGATCTGTTGGCTGTAAGCATTTGGATTTATTTCTTGGTTCTCTATTCTGTTCCATTGCTGAATGTGCCTATGTTTATACCAGTACCATGCTGTTTTTGTACTGTGGCCTTATAGTATAGTTTGAAATCAGATAGTGTGATGCCTCCAGATTTGTTCTTTTTGCTTAGTCTTGCTTTGGCTATGTGGGCTCTTTTTTGGTTCCTTATGAATTTTAAAATTGTTTTTTCTAATTCTGTGAAGAATGATAGTGGTATTTTGATGGGGATTACATTGAACTTGTAGATTGCTTTTGGCAGTATGGCCATTTTCGCAATACTGATTCTACCCATCCATGAGCATGGGATGTGTTTCATTTATTTGTGTCATCTGTGATTTCTTTTAGCAGTGTTTTGTAGTTTTCCTTGTAGAGGTCTTTCGCCTCCTTGGTTAGGTATATTCCTACATATTGTATTTTTTGCAGCTATTGTAAAAAGGATTGAGTTATTGATTTGATTCTCTGTTTGGTTAATGTTGGTATATAGAAGAGCTACTGATTTCCGTACATTAATCTTGTGTCTGGAAACTTTGCTGAATTATTTTCAGCAAAAGTTCTAGGAGCTTTCTGGAGGAGTCTTTTCGAGGTAAACAATCATATTGTCAGCAAACAGTGACATTTTGACTTTCTCTCCACCAATTTGGATGCCCTTTATTTCTTTCTCTTGTCTGATTGCTCTGGCTAGGACTTCCAGTACTATGTTGAAGAGAAGTGCTAAGAGTGGGAATCCTTGTCTTGTTCCAGTTCTCAGAAGGAATGCTTTCAACTTTTCCCCATTCAGTATTATGTTGACTGTGGGTTTATCATAGATGGCTTTTATTACATTGAGGTATGTCCCCTGTATGCCAATTTTGCTGAGAGTTTTTATCATAAAGGGATACTGGATTTTGTTGAATGCTTTTTCTGCATCTATTGAGATGATCGTGTGATTTTTGTTTTTAATTCTGTTTATGTAGTGTATCACATTTATTGACTTGCATATGTTAAACAATCCCTGCATCTCTGCTATGAAACCCATTTGATCTTGGTGGATTATCTTTTTGATGTGTTGTTGATTTGGTTAGCTTGTATTTTGTTAAGGATTTTAGCATCTATGTTCATCAGGGATATTGGTCTGTAGTTTTATTTTTTGGTTATGTCCTTTCCTGGATTGGATATTAGGATGATGCTGGCTTCATAGAATGAATTAAGGAGGATTCCCTCTTTCTCTATCTTGTGAAATAATGTCAATTGGATTGGTACCAATTCTTTGAATGTCTAGTAGAATTCTGCTGTGAATCCATCTGGTCCTGGACTTTTTTTTTTTTTTTTTTTTTTTGAGACAGAGTCTAGCTCTTTTGCCTCGACTGGAGTGCAGTGGCACTATCTCCGCTCACTGCAACTTCAACCTCCCGGGTTCAAGGGATTCTCCTGCCTCAGCCTCCCAAGTAACTGGGATTACAGGCACTCACCACCACACCCAACTAATTGTGTTTTTAGTAGAGATGGAGTTTCACCATGTTGGCCAGGCTGGTCTTAAACTCCTGACATCAAGTGATTTACCCACCTCAGCCTCCCAAAGTGCTGAGATTACAGGCATGAACCATCACGCCCAGCCTTGTGGTTTAAAATCTTTTGATGGCCCTTTATTGCCTCCACAACACAATTCTTCACTATATTGCCTAATCTTAACTTTCAACTCAGTTCTAATTCCCTAGTGCCTGTGCATCCTATCTGCATGCCTGATACAGGTCTGTGCACGAAACACTTTGACCTTCATGTCTCTGTCGCTGCTGTTTGCTTTGTCACAGATGCCCTGTGTTTCCTTCACAGGGCAAAGCCCTACTTACCCTTCAAGATTCAACTCAAACATATTATTTCCCCTGAGTCCAGCAGGTAAAATTGTCCTTCATTTGTATTCTAATAGTACATAATAGGTACATTTGTACTGATATTACCATGTCTTTCTTGTTAGTCTCCCTGGCTAGGCTGTGGGCTGACTTAAGACAAAGAACTGTACTTCACAGATTTTAGTACCCTTTGAATCTAACTCCATTCCTGACTGTACTAGCCCTGTAATCATGTTGAATTCCTGCCTATGGACCTTTATTCCTATTGTTCCGCTTATTTGGATGCCTCGATCTTCTTTCTATTCAAAGCATGCCCATTCTTCATGGCCCGCTTCCTCCATAAAGCCTCACTGACTAATGTAGCGGTGATAATTTTAACTGCTTTGCTTTAGGGAAAAGGGCTTACTTTTATTAGTTTAATTTACCATACAGTTTCCAGGCATTGATTACTATTAAAAATAGAGACTATCTGTACTAGCTTTCATTGTGCTTATTTCAGCAATCCTACTTACAGATCCTTAACTATGTCTATCTAACCCCAAACAAACCTAAGTAACTCCCAATTTTATTGAATACAAAGCCTTTTAAATGAGAAATAACATTTATATCCGTGGTTTTTGGGAAGAGATCATTTGGGGTTTGTTTCCCTTGTGTCATTTTATTTGGGGACAGTTAAAAGAGGCTTCTATTGCACATACCATTAGAGTTTGCCACCAGGAATTATCTTTAACCTAGTGCAAGCCACAGTGAGGCACAGTAAACACAATGGAGTTTATTTTCCTAATGTGTATATTCCTTTTTTCCTGGTGATAGTGTTATCTTTTTCATCTCTTTTGAAGTACTTTTTCCCTCTTTTACCTTAGCATCTGTGTGAAATATAATATATAAAAAAGTATTATGCCACTGAACATACAGAGTGATGTACCCAAGATCGCTCACCTACGCATTGGTAATGCCAAGCCTAGACTTCTGGCTATTCCCTGTTTCTGTTAATTTTCAAAATTAGCTCAATAAATGTCAGAAGACAGGAAGAATTTGCTTTATTATCTTAGAGACTTAACAAAGTAGGGATTTTTTTAATAGTTGGCTCTTCCAGAGACTGTTAGACCTCATGGTTTATAAGAATTGAGAATTACATCAGATTGGAAATATCAATACTATATCAATTTTAATAAGTATAAATTTTCTTTTTGATACTAGAAGCTGTAAGTATGCTGTTTACCTAGCAATTAATGTTTTTCTTGCAAATTTATGTTTAATGTGCATGATTAGGGGAATGTTAGCATAAGTGTTATAGCATTTAACTGCTGCTTAAAATTTTTGAGAATAGGCCAGGTGCAGTGGCTCATACCTATAATCCCAGCTCTTTGGGAGCCCCAGGCAGAAGGATCACTTGAGGCCAAGAGTTTGAGACCAGCCTGGGCAACATAACAAGACTATGTCTCTATTTTTTAAAAGATAGCCAAGCATGGTGGCATGCTCCTGTAGTCCCAGCTACTTGAGAGGCTGAGGTAGGAGGATCACCTGAGCTGAGGCGTTTTAGATTACAGTGAGCTGTGATCACCATTGCACTCCAGCCTGGGCAGCAAGAGTGAAACTCCATTTCAAAAAAAAAAAATTAACCTATAATATATTACGAAATTTACTTAATTTTCTGTCTTCTTCCACTATAATGGGTGCTCCATTCTATTTTTGTCTCTTTTGTTCACAGATATTTTTGTCTCTTTTGTTTACTTACTTTATGTCTAGCTCCTGGAGCAGTGATTAATAAAAAATAGTAGTCACTTAATAAATATCTGTAGACTGAATGAAGACATAGTCCCAGACTTCAAGATGTCAACTATTGGAGCATAATGGTTAAGAACATAAGCTCTAGAGACAGAGCTGGGTTCTGATTCCGATGCTATGACTGTGTGAAATTGTCGAGTTACCTAACATCTCTAAACCTTCATTTGTAGAATGGGGCTATTAATAGTACCAAGACAAATCTGTATCACATGCTGCATATTTACATTTCACAAAAATACTCTCTCTCACTCCTTTATAGTTAGCTTCCTTTACCCAAGTTCTAGAGTCTAATGATCTATTCTCAAAAAACAAAAATTTTTTTGAAACAGAGTTTGGCTTTTGTCACCCAGGCCTGGAGTGCAGTGGCGAGATCTCTGCTCACTGCAACCTCTGCCTCCCGTGTTCAAGAAATTCTCCTCTCCCAACCTGAGTAGCTACTCAGGAGGTTGAGGCAGAATTGCCTGAACCCAGGAGGCGGAGGTTGCGGTGAGCCGAGATCGCGCACACACCACCAAACCTGGCTAATTTTTGTATTTTTAGTACACGCGGGGTTTCAACAAGTTGGCCAGGCTGGTCTCCAGCACCTGACCTCAGGTGATCCACCTGCCGTGGCCTCCCAAAGTGCTAGGATTACAGGTGTGAGCCACCACGCCCGACTTTAATTTTTTAAACTACTTTATTGAGGAATTATTGGTGTACAAAAAGCTGCATATATTTATTGTATATAACTTAATGAGTTTGGAGATAAGTATACAAGCATGAAACCAGCACCACAATCTGTACCATAACCCAAGCA